ACAACTCAAACACAGAAATAGGTTGGAGCAAATGTCTTATGCTGCTCAGATGGTAATCCATAGGGGTGAAGTAGAATTGCAAAGAGAGAATGCAAATTTAACATCTGAAGACTACATTAATGAAAGAATTATGTAGTACTATGTTAATAGAAAAGGGATGTGTGATAGACTTAACTTCACGTAGTGCATCCTGGGCAAAGTATACTCATACGGCAAAAAAGTCTATTAACCGACAGTTGACTTCTGACTCAAACTACCATGACCCCACCGTAGGTCACATTCGACCACTTCACAGTACTCATCTTACCTTTTCTCTGCCTTTGTGTCTGTCTGTCTCTTTTACACCTGTGAATCATTATTCTGTCTCCCCTCCCGACTTTTTTGTCACTTTTATGTTCCTCCTCCTCCCTGTAAAGCCTGAAGTCAGCTAAAGGGCTAAGGATAACTATCGAAACGCCTGCCATTTGAAATAAATAAAAAGTATTTATAGAAAATCAATTTATGCGCAGTTCTGAATAATCACTTTATAAACAAATATTGGTTCTAAACTTAGCTTAGGTTATGCTACCAGCCTCCACCAGATTCTCAACAGTGGGTTCTTGCCACTATACAAGCATTTGTAATTTCTCAACAAATGAACTCATTTGGCAATCAACCTCACTCATCGCCCTTCTATGGTGCTTTAATTTAATAGCCAATTGGTGGTAAAGCAGTTATGACCTGGATTCACGCCATAGACAAATCATGAAAAGGGAGGAAAATAACCTGAGGTTGTTTGCAAAGGAAGGCATGCTCAACTAATGAACGAGCCGAGCTGTCTTCACGTTTTTCCGGAGGCAGAGTAGTATTGGCGGATTCAGCAGCAGCTTCCATAAGATTCAACTCAGCGCCCAATTTGCGAATGGCAGAGAGTTTGGGAGAGACAAAACAGATGGTGAAGTTCTCCCGAGAATCAGCGTAGACACATATGTTATCCACATATATCGACTGGCCCAAGGCCAATTCAACTTTCACCAAGGAGACATACTCGCCCGCTTGTAGCTTAACTAGATCCTTCTTACGATCGATGATTGAGAAACTGCCGTCTTGGTGAATCATGCCGATGTCACCTAAACATTTTTATAAAATACATCAAGCAGAAATCTGAAATGGCTATATGCTTTGCCCTCCCTATTTCTGAATGATTTTAAAATCAAACATCAGTATTAAAGTAGATGAACACCACCATCGAAAATGACAAGATTAAATAGCTGAAGAGAGCCTTTGAAGCTAAGCATTAGGGGAAGAAGGGGGAGATTTAAATGAAGAATCCCTGGGAAGTATTGAAACTTGAATGCTGGCAACATATTGAGTCACCTACTTGATAAATTAAAACAGAAAGATAGCGCATTCATTTTACTAGAAGAAAGTGAAACCTATATGGATATTAGCCCGCGGTAACTACAACTAAAAACTAAATAGAAAGCATGAAAGAAGGCATGGATAAAAATGATAATTTGTTATATTTTGCGAAGGTGCAAACATCAGCTGAACCGATACCGATATTTTGGGATTTGGGGTAGGGGTTAGACTTACCTCCACGTGGTGCACCCTGGGCAACGTATACTCATACGGCAAAAAGTCTATTAACCGGCAGTTGACTTTTGGCTTCTAACCACCATCACCCCACTGTATGTCATATTCGACTACTTCCACAGTACTCACCTCACCTCTTTTCTACTTTTGTGTCTATCTTTTGCATCTTTGAAACACTCTTCTGTTCCCACCCCTCTCGAATTTTTTTCACTTTGATATTTCTTCTCCTCTGTGAGGCTTGAAGTCACCTAAAGGGCTAATGAAACTATCAAAATGCCTGCCATTTGATATAAATAAATATTTTGGGACTTAATTAACATAAAACCTAAAGATTGAAGTTTTAATTAAAATTGCCTATTTTTGCCCTTCCTAATATCTAAAATGGTGACATTTCAAGGATTACGTCTTTATAATTTCAGTATATACTGCATCTGTTTTGTGTTTAGTATTACGGCATATAGGAAGTAACACGGCTCCGATCAAGCATGCTATTTCTCAAATTATAGCTCAACGCTCGACTTGGACGAGCGTAATACCAAGATTGACATTTGCCGACTAATTGATACTTCCACTATCATCACTCACCCAATGTCGACGTACATATTTTCTTGAGTACTGATCTATTTAATGTACGACTACCTTCATTTTAAACAAATTCGCTAAGAAACAGTTTATTTCATATTTGAATTAACACCTTGATCTTCGTTATTATAGACCTTACTTGACCTATCCAGGTCATGTTTCTGTCATTAACCAACTAACTAGGAGTAGTGACAGCAACCAATAGGCAAGTGAACGCTGTCTGGTCAACTACCCATCGAGTCCCTTTTCAGGCGTTATCACTTAGAGCAATACAGTACAAAATAATTAAGTTACCCTTAATTTGATGATGTAAGAAACATAAACTCCGGCAATGGCACTTAAGTGAAAATTTATGCTTATATTTCACACATAATGAGAGAATGCAGTGTGAGCTTACCAGTACAGAACCATCGAAGACCCTTGCTGTCAGTGTAGAAGGCCTCCGCTGTGGCCTCAGGATTCTTGTAATAGCCGCGAGCTACACTACCACCAGAAATGAGAATCTCTCCTCGTGGGAAGGGCTTGTCGTAGGGAGAGTAGCCGCCCTCCAACCAGGGACGTAGGCGAATCTGCACGCTGGGAATCGGCGCGCCTACGTGGTGTCCTCGTAAATCACCGCACTCCATTAGAGTAGCTGCTGCCGCTGTCTCCGTCAAACCATAGCTAAAGGCAGAGATGAAAATGAAATCGGATCTTAAATAAGCTTTTTTGTTACCATTAATTGCACGATATGCCTTGATCTCTGGCTTACATATTAATTAATTTTTTAAATCAATTTGTCTTCAATTCTGCCCATTGAGATATCAAAAGTATCTAGTTATTTGAAGATAGATGAGCAAACAGATAATAATAGCAGCAAAAAGTTCGGAAGACAATTTTTAAAAAAAAATAATTTTCATGCAGGAACAACTGACTGGGGGGAGATGGCAATTTTCTGCTTAATTCGTATGCATTACCAACTAAGAGTTAAGATTGTCAGAGATTATGAAAATCAGAAAATAACTACATATGATGCTAACATATGAGTTTACGTCTATTCCCATTTTAATTGTTTAAACAACGCTTAACTAATAATTAATTAATGAATAATGTTCTGCGATTGATATAGTTATGCAAAGTTAAAACATCTTTACTGCCAATTTTAGGATATTTTGAGATTTCAATCTGGAATTGCCTTATCAAATATTGACATTTTAAAGAATCCGAAACCCGATAAAGAACATAAATTTTCTCCATTTAGAAACCTTCAAGACAATGAGTTTAGGAAATCATTGAAATATCCCCTTGTGATAGATGGGAAAGGAAAAATTTGCAGCGACTCAAACATAGTTAAAATCTCCCTAAAGTTGGCATTTCTCAAACTCCACTTTTTCACCATTACATACGACTCTTAATTTCCCGCTTCAAATGTTTCTAGTTCGTTAAAACAAGAAGAATAATCTTTATGTTATACTAGTAATAATATTTAGGTCCAATATATTATATCTTCCTCGATTTGTTCACGTTGAGAGCTAAAAATATCAGTGGCACTAGCTTTGTGAATTGGTCTAGTAAAACTACCTGCAATTGAAAAAGGCATTTTAGGAATTGATATAGAATTTCTTTATAACCAGATTCAAACATTGATTTAGTAGATAAGGTGATGTCAAGGTAAAATTTCTACATATATATTGAATTTATTCAAATTTTCAAGGAAAGGTAGAAATGAAAACAATGAGACTCGATTTCCGACCGAATTAAACATAAATATGCATTGATTCTAGTACTTTAATACTTTAAACGAATTGAATAGACAGCCTTGTGCCACAGTACACACAGAACATCAGTACAACAGAAAGGACCATAAGAGTTTGGAGTCGCGCAATATCATACCGCGATCTTGTCCATTAAATATTTCTAACTCATACTAAATTGATTAAATCTCAATCTGTTTGAAGACAGTTAAGCGTCTGAAATGGAGACACGTGGTTTAATCAGATAAACGCACAATCAACTTATAAATACCACAACAATATGTAATAATTTCATAAGGCAACCATAATAAATTAAAACTTGTTTTTTAGCACAGTGGTATAATGATAAACAATGGAAATGGATTTCTAACCTTGTATCACCTGAAAAAAGAGGGACCAAGCACATTAACATTTATTTATTATTTTGAATGACATGCGTTTGGATAGTTATCGTTAGCCCTTTAGATGACCCCGAACCTCACGGAGGGGAGGAACATCAAACTGAGAAAAAATGGAGAGGAAAAAAAGACTGATTCACATATGTAAAAAAGACAGGCAGAGAAAAAGGTAAGATAAGTACTGTAGAAGGGGTCGAATATGACATAGAGTAGGGTCATGGTAGTTTGAGATCAAAGTCAGCTGCCGATTTAGACTTTTCCGCCATATGAATATACATTCCCCATGGTGCACCACATGGAGGTAAGTCTATCTCACCCCATACTCATTAACATAGATGAGGAAACAGCAGCTCATATATACTTATACACTTCATAGGATTAAGGGGCCGTCTCTAAAGTATACATCTGAGTGTCTCAGATACCGTTGATTGAATTGAATTGTGCTCCACATACTTAATTCTTAGGCTGATACT